GTAGTAGTAGTAGTAGTAGTAGTAGTAGTAGTAGTAGTAGTAGTAGTAGTAGTAGTAGTAGTAGTAGTAGTAGTAGTAGTAGTAGTAGTAGTAGTAGTAGTAGTAGTAGTAGTAGTAGTAGTTAGTAGTAGTTAGTAGTAGTTAGTAGTAGTAGTAGTAGTAGTAGTAGTAGTAGTAGTAGTAGTAGTAGTAGTAGTAGTAGTAGTAGTAGTAGTAGTAGTAGTAGTAGTAGTAGTAGTAGTAGTAGTAGTAGTAGTAGTAGTAGTAGTAGTAGTAGTAGTAGTAGTAGTAGTAGTAGTAGTAGTAGTAGTAGTAGTAGTAGTAGTAGTAGTAGTAGTAGTAGTAGTAGTAGTAGTAGTAGTAGTAGTAGTAGTAGTAGTAGTAGTAGTAGTAGTAGTAGTAGTAGTGGTAGCAGTAGTAGTAGCAGGAGTGGGGGTAGGAGTAGGAATAATGGTAGTAGTAGTGCTACAAGTAAGATGGAAATAATCGGAATCGTGGTTGCAGTCCTAGATAGTACTCGCAGTCGTAGCCGTAGTAGTACTGCAAGCCGCGTCGCAATTAACTTGACACCGCGCTGGGCGGCCAGGCCCTTCAAACTGGAGGGGCACGTATGACGGCCCCCCTTCCTGCCAAAGTTGAAAAGCGCACTGGGTTGGCGGGGATGCGCGAAACGTCCAGACTTGCCCTTCGAAATTTGTGTCCCACGAATGGTGTTCTGACACGATGCAGGATCGACGAAGCGCAATAGTGACTGTGATTCGTGGCGCTGGCATCCCAGGACGGTCGTCCTCCAAGGGGGGGGGTCTTCCCCCAGCGGAGATGGCCTTTTGTTGGGGCCTATGGAAAGGAACCTCGAAGGGAAGGTGTATTGCAATATCGTTGATACGCCCTGGGTTTGCACTGGTCCTCCGCCGCCTCCTCCTCCTCCTCGTCCTCCCCCCCCTCCTCCTCCTGCCCTTGCCGCCCAAGTCGAGACGCGCAACTTCCGCCCCCCCCCCCCCTCTCCAAAGTTGAAGGCGCGTGGATCGCCAGCGCCTGCCCCAGGTCGGGTCAGGTTCTGCGTCAACTTTGGAGAAGGGGGGGGGGGCAGGCCCACCTCTATGCCTCCCTACCAGACACTCAGGGGGCCAGCAGGCGTCTCCTCACGAGACAGCTGGCGCGCAATTCCCTACCAGACAGTCGCATGCATTTCTTAACCGGGCAGTCGTCGGACATCCAGCGGACATTGTGGAGGGCAGGCAGGCGTTTCCATGCCAGAGAACCGGCGCGCAATTCCCTGCCGCGCAGCCGCAGGCATTCCCTGACCAGACAGCTTTGCCAGACAGCCGGCGCGCATTTGTTTATCAAACAACGTTCGTGATGGACGGGGATTAGGGAACGACGAGGAGGAGGAGAAAGGGCATGAGGAGAAGAAGGGGGCGGAGGAGGATTAGGAAGACGACGAGGAGGAGGGAGAAAGGATGAGGAAGAGAAGGAGCAGGAAGATAAGTAGGACGATGCTGACGCTGGTGATGATGATGTTGATATTGATGACGTTGATGATGATGCTGATGATGAGGATGCTGATGATGTGTGTCACGATTCTGGTGATGCTGGTGCTGTTGGCGGTGATCAGGTTTGTGATGGTACTCCTGGGGATGATGATGATGATGACGATTTGGATGATGCTGGTACTGATGTTGTTGTTGCTGATGCCCGTGCTCATGAGGATACTGATGATAGTTCTGGCGTGGAGGAGGAGGAACAAGAGGAGGAGGAGGAGGACGACGATACATATGACGAGGAGGACGAGGAGGGAGGAGGAAGAGCCAGGATGAGGAGAGGAGGAGGTGGAAAGAGAAGGATACGAGGATACAGGGGATGAGGATCCAATCTGCCTTGACGTGACTACGAATCGAAAGAGGGATGGAGGCGCCCATGATGTATTGGTGCACGGATTCTACCTGCATGGAGGGGGGATGGGTGGAAGAAAGGATGGAGGCATGGACGGAGGCTGGCGGAGGAGCCTGGATGGGGGCGGCCTGGATGGAGGGAGGGGAGGGTGAGGGAACAGGGATGCTCGATGGAGGGAGCATGGAGAAAGGCTGCTTGGCAAGAGGCTGGATGGAATGAGGGGGGCAGGGGGGGATTTGGATGGATGCACGCTAGATGGGAGGGGCGGGGGTGGGAAGAGGAAGGCTTGATGGAGGATGGATGGATGGACTCTGGTTGGAGTGAGGCTGGGTGGAAGAAGGGTGGCGGACAGGAGGACGGATGAAGGAGTGGATGTCTGGACGGGTGGGGGGCGGCTCGAGGGACACTGCAGAGGGGGGCGCTGAATGGCCGGATGGAAGGTGGATAGATGAAGGCTGGAGGAAGATGGAAGGAGGCTGCATGGCAGGAGGGTGGATGGATGGAGGCTGGAGGAAGAGGAGGAGGAGGAGGAGGAGGAGGAGGAGGAGGATAAGCAGGGGGAAGCGGAAGGGGATTGGGCGGAGGCTGAGGGTGAAGACGTATGTGGTGAACGGTGCGGAGTAATCCGTCGAGTCGGGCCTACGAATTCATCACGTTAGTTGCGACGCGACTCGTATACGTAGCGATAATAATAATAGTGGTAGTAGGACTAGTAGCAGTCAAGGTACGAGTGGTGGTAATCGTGAGCTAGTAGCCGTATTCGTAGTAGCATTCGTAGTGGTATTCGTGATAGTATTCGTAATAGTATTCGTCGTCGTAGTCGTAGTCGTAGTCGTAGTCGTGGTCGTAGTAGTAGTAGTAGTAGTAGTAGTAGTAGTAGTAGTAGTAGTAGTAGTAGTAGTAGTAGTAGTAGTACGACTAGTAGTAGTAGCAGTAGTAGTAGTAGTAGTAGTAGTAAAAAAGGTAGTAGTACGAGTCGTAACAGGAAAAGTAGCCGTAATATTCGTAAAAGTGGTAGCGGTAGTTGGAGGCGTCGTAGTAGTAGTCGTAGTCGTAGTCGTAGTCGTAGTAGTAGTAGTAGTAGTAGTAGTAGTAGTAGTAGTAGTAGTAGTAGTAGTAGTAGTAGTAGTAGTAGTAGTCGTAGTAGTAGTAGTAGTAGTAGTAGTAGTAGTAGTAGTAGTAGTAGTAGTAGTAGTAGCAGTAGTAGTAGTAGTAGTAGTAGTAGTAGCAGTGGTCGTAGTAGTAGTAGTAGTAGTAGTGTAGTAGTAGTAGTAGTAGTCGTAGTAGTAGTAGTAGTAGTAGTATTAGTAGTAGAAGTAGTAGTAGTAGTAGTAGAAGTAGTAGTAGTAGTAGTAGTAATAGTAGTAGTAGTAGTAGTCTAGAAGTAGTAGTAGTAGTAATAATAATAATAGTAGTAGTAGTAGTAGTAGTAGTAGTCGTAGTAGTAGAAGTGGTAGTAGTAGTAGTAGTAGTAGTAGTAGTAGTAGTAGTAGCAATAGCAGTAGTAGTAGTAGTAGTAGTAGTAGTAGTAGTAGTAGTAGTAGTCGTAGTAGTCGTAGTAGTAGTAGTAGTAGTAGTAGTAGTAGTAATAGTAGTAGTAATAATAATAGTAGTGGTGGTAGTAATAGTAGTAGTAGTAGTGGTAGTAGTAGTAATAGTAGTCGTATCAATAGAAGTACTGATAGTCGTAGTCGTAGTAGTAGTAGTAGTGGTAGTAGTAGTAGTAGTAGTAGTAGTAGTCAGACGCGCATTCGTACTTATAGTACTAATCGTGCTCGCCGTCGTCGCGATCGTCGTAAGAATGGGGGAGACAATCGTGGTTGCAATACACATCATCGCATGTTTGGTCGGCGAACACGGCCTGATCCCATTGCGTGATCTCCGACATAGACTGCGATCCCTGAGGGGAAAGGGGAGCTGTAACGCGTAGACAGCTACTACGACTACGACTACGACTACGACTAGTACGACTACGGCTACGACTACGACTACGACTACGACTACGACAACTCCGTCTATTTCTACTACTACTACTACGACGACCGACGACGACTACTACTTCTACTACGACTGCTACTACTATTGCGACGACGTTTACGACGACTACTACTACGGCTACTACGTGTACTACTACTACTACTACTACTACTACTACTACTACTACTACTACTAAGACCAGCCTCGTCAAACATATCGCAACATGGAACAGGAAATCCTGGGAAATGGTACTTTCGGGCACTTGTCAGAAAGCGCGTTCTTCAATGCTGAGGGGGTGGGGTCAGTTTTTGGACAACACGGCGTCCGAGTCAACAGGAATCCGTCAACAGTGGAGCAGCGCTGACACCACAATCACCGAATTGAGAAATCTTCTGTTTATGTTTGACGAGGTTTGTGCTACTAATACGACTACCACTACGACTACCACTACCACCACCACCACCACCACCACCACTACTACTACTACTACTACTACTACTACTACTACTACTACTACGACTACTATTACTATTACTACTCCTACTCCTACTCCTACTCCTACTACTACGACTACTACTACCACTACTACTACTGCTACTACTACTACTTCTACTACTACTACTACTACTACTACTACTACTACTACTACTACTACTACTACTACTACTACTACTACTACTACTACTACTACTACTACTACTACTACTACTACTACTACTACTACTACTACTAGTGCTAATATTATTACTACCACGACTACCACTGCGACGACTACGACTACGACGACTACTACTACTACTACTACGACCACTACTACTACTGCTACTACTACTACTACTACTACTACTATTACTACTACTACTACTACTACTACTACTACTACTACTACTACTACTACTACTACTACTACTACTACTACTAGTACTACTACTACTACTACTACTACTACTACTACTACTACTACTACTACTACCACTATGACCACTACCACTACCACTACCACTACCACTACCACTACCACTAGCACTAGCACTAGCACTAGCACTACTACTACGACGGTCCCTACTACGACGACCACTGCTATCGCAGCCGCGCAGTACTTGTCACAGGTAACTGTCTGGCAACGCTGGCCCCGGTCAGGGAGGCCAGAAATTCAAAGTGGCCACACATCTGAAATTCAACACGATCCTGAACAAGCCCTCTTGGGCCAACGATAGCATACCAAAAGTTCCTCGTATGATATCGGTGGGACCTGGTCCCAAACGATATCACATGGCGTAAGAAGAGCCTAAGAGGGCCTGCCGGAGCTGCGCGGGAGTTGTGGGGGGCCCTTTGGGGCCCTGTCGGGGCCATCTTGGGCATGTCTTGGGCCCTCGTGGGACACCTGGCGACAGGCGAGCTCGTGTTGGCAGAACATCGGTTTTGACAGCGCGAGCCTCCGCCCTCTTGGGGCCTTCTTGGATCCCAATTGGAGCGAGCCCCCTTTGGGCCGTATTGGGTCCTCCCTTGGAACTCTGTTGAAGGTCACTCGGGGCCCTTCACGGCCGTACGATATTGTTGGGGCCCAGGTCCCAACGATATCATACCAGAAGCTCCTCATGTGAGATCCGTAGGGCCTGGGCCCCAGTATTCTCCCTCCTCCTCCTCCGCCTCCTCTTCCTTCTCTCGTCGCCATTGCCGTCGTCGTCGTCGTCGTCACCGTCCGCCTGCCCCCCCTCCCTGGCCTAAAACATGGTAGAAAACCCAATCCCCGACAAACATCGAATCCATCGCTTCTCTGATGGGACCCGTTGTATCTGTTTGTCTCCGGGCCCGAGGACGCTCCTCCCCAGAGGTCGAGACAGAAGGACACAGCAGGGACTACTCAAATCAAAGCGACAAGAGGCTGGCGGTCCGTGAGGTCCGACGTCGCGGAAAATACGACATCGTCGACATTCACACGACCCTGTACCCGATCTCCCTGCGGCGTTGTCGGGCCAGATCTGTATGCGAGGGCCCAGGCCCGAAAACAAGCGAAAACGGGTCGAAAAAAACCGCAACATCAGGATCTCGGGGATGACGAGGGAGAGAGAACAACGCCGTTGGCGACGACGGCGGCGGTTGCGGCGTTGACGGGGACGACCACGGCAACGGCGATCCCCGGACCTGTCCTGGGCGCGTTCCGACCAGGACTTCGAAGGAGATCCAGCGGTGACCACGAGGGCGCCCCTGGGGGGCCCAGACAGGCCCTCGAACCCAGAGTCCTGACATCATGATTTTTCAGAGCGTCGACCCATAGGAGCCTCGACCCCTTCCCCGGGACGGGGTTCTCATCCTGACAACTTTCTGCATGGTCCCGGGGCCCGGTACTGTATACGTCGTGCTCCTCTGGAACTCGAGGGGGCGTCCGGGGACCTCCATCCCCTGGCCTCCCACCCATGCCGCTGCAGAAGCAGCGGCGGCGGCGGAGGCGGCCGCCCAGGGCGCCTCGAGCAGGCCCGCCAGCGTGAGGGACCCCGCGCGGCCCGCGTACAGGCGCACGCGCCCCGTCGACGGCTCGGGCTCGTCCGCGCGCACCAGGGCCGTCCCTGGGCTTACCAGCCTCGAATGTATCCCTATCCCGAAGGTTGACCCGCCAGAAGGCGATGCCAATCTTAGGGGTTCGCCCTCCAAAAAAAGGGAAGGGAATCCCTAAGATTGGCATCGTGATGGTGAGGTGCCCAGCACAGGGATAGGGATACATTCCAGGGTCGTAAGGGGCGCCCCCCCCTTATCGCAGCGCGGCGCAGGGCCGTGTGCTCCGAGAGCGGGCGGCTATACCCCGAGATCCGGGCGCCATGCCGGCGTGTGTTTGAAGGGGCCCCAGGGCACACAAACAAATACACACAAAGAAGAAGACTCCCCATCCTCTCCCATATGTTCTGCGCTTCTGTCTTCCCTCCCACTTCCCATGCTTTCCCATCTTTTCTGGGGAAAAAACGAGGCTGAAATTGTGTCTGTGTGCTTCTTCTCCTCCTGTGTGTTGGACCGCGGGCGCGGCTCTCTGCTCGAGCCGGGCTCGCTCCCGGGCCCTGCTAATTGGGGGGCCCCGCGGGTCGACGCGGCCCGAAGAGAGGGCGGCAGGGAGGCGCGGGGTCTCTGGGGCTCCGGTCGTGGCTTTCTGCCGCGGTGCGCCTCGACTCCTGCGCGACGTCGGATCTCAGGGTTCGGCAGGAGTGGCCTCCGGTGCGTGGCCTGCCGATCACTGCGTGCGGCGCGGCAGCAGCGACGTGCGGGGCTGGGCCCGCGCAAAAATCAGGACGGAGACTGTCAGCAATCCCTCCAGGGGGGCAGTAGAGTTCTTAGCCGCGTAGCGCACGGCGGGGCGCCAAGCTTACAGAGAGCAAGTCTGGCTCTGGTCTGGCTGGTCTGGTTGGTCTGGTTTGAACTTCGTCTTGCAGCCTTAGCTAGGATCTGGGCGAGAATGGTTTAGGGGAGGTCCGGCGAGGCAGCGCCAACCACCACGACGACCGAAATACAGTTTTTTGTTGCATTGCAGTTTTCTTTGCTTTGAAGTTTGTTTGGCATTGCATTTTTCGTTGCATCTGTTCTGGCTGGTCTGGTTGGTCTGGTTTGAGCTTCGTCTTGCAGCCTTAGCTTAGGATCCGGGGGCGAGTAGTTTAGGGGAGGTCCAGCGAGGCGGCGCCAACCACAACGACGACGACCGAAATGCAATGTTTGTTGCATTGCAGTTTTTGTTCGCGTTGCAATTTGCTTTGCACTGCAATGTTTGTTGCATTTGGTCTGGCTGGTCTGGTTTGAGCTTCGTCTTGCGGCCGTAGTTCAGGATCCGGGCGAGAATGGTTTAGGGAAGGTCCAGCGAGGCAGCGCCAACCACCACGACGACAACCGAAATGCAGCTTTTTTGCAGTGCAGTTTTCTTTGCTTTGAAGTTTTTTGAGAATTGTAATGTTTCTTTGCATCTGGTCTGGCTGGTCTGGTTGGTTTGGTTGGAGTTTCGTCTTGCAGCCTTAGCTTAGGATCCGGGCGAGAGTGATTTAGGGGAGGTCCAGCGAGGCAGCGCCAACCACCACGACGATCGATATTCATTATTTGGGAATTGCATTTTGTCTCTCTTTGCAGATTTGTTGTATTGCAGTTGTTGTTCGCATCTGGTCTGGCTGGTCTTGTTGGTCTGGTTTGAGCTTCGTCTTGCAGCCTTAGCTTAGGGATGGTTTGGTTGGTCTGGTCTCGTTCATTGGTCTGGTCTGGTTAGCCTGGACTGGTCTGGTTGGTCTGGCTACTCTTGCTCAGGAGCGAACTGAAATACAGGACGGCGGACACAGCGGGCCTCGGGAGCGAACTGAAACATAAAGTAAAGTTCTTGGCTAATGTAGCGCACGGCGGGACGCCAAGCTTCAAAAGAGCAAGCTTGAAGCTTCAGCCTTAGGCTTGAGCTTGAAGCTTCAGCCTTGAGCTCGAGCTTGAACTTAGTCCTGAAGCCTCAGTTTAGGATTCGGGCGAGAGTGGTTCAGGGGAGGTCCAGGGAGGCAGCGCCAATCACGACGGCCACCGAAACACAGGTTTAGTTGGTCTGGCTGGTCTGGCTGGTCTGCTTGGTCTGGCTGGTCTGGTTGGTCTAGTTGGTCTGGCTGGTCTGGTTGCTCTGGTTCGCATGGTTGGTCTGGTGGTTTGTCTGGCTTGGTCTGGCGCGGTTGCTCCACTGGCTGGTTGGTTCGGTTTGTCCGATTGGTCTAGCTCGTCTGGCCCACAGAGTGCTTCCAGATCCGGTCTCGGATTGCAGGTCTGATTGGCGCGGGCGCGGAGAGTTGATCTTGCAGGATGACGTTGAGTAGAAGGAAGGGGAGGAGGAAGAGGAGGAACACCGTCTCTGACGACTCCAGGGCCCCGCGACCGTCCCGGAAGATCCGAATCGTAGAAAAAACGACGTCGTCGCCGTCGTCCTCGTTCTCGCCCTCGATTTCCTCATCATCGTCGTCGCCGCCGTCGTCGTCGTTGCATTATCAACGTCGTCATCGTCGTCGTCGTCGTCATCGTCCTGTCCCTTGCATCGCCGCAGCCGGGGCTGGGACCGAAAGCGCTGCTGCATCAAGTCCAGCTGCGGCGGAAAGGGAGGTGGGGAGGGAGGGAACATCGGCAGCCACATCAGTGCGTATGCCCCAAATCCAAGTAAGGCGCTGGAGCATAAGAACTGTTCGCCCCGAGCGGCTCAGGATTTTCAGACTCCAGGGCCTCCAGGGCCGTCAGAACACGACTCATTACTTATGTTGCATCCTCGGGGGACCTTGTCTGTCCCGTCGCGGCCCTGTCCGCGTCGAATCCGTGTCGAATCCATGTCGGACGCGTCGGATCCGTGTCGAATCCGTGTCGAATCCGCGTCGAATCCACGCCAAATCCGCGTCGAGTCCGCATCGAGCACGCGTCGGGCCCCCAAAAAGACACCACTTTGGGGGACAGGCGAGGTCCCCCGAAGATGCAACAGAACATGACGAGAAGCCGGACCATGGGGAAAGGGTCAGGACTTCCGAGGGCCCCCCCCTCGAGGCAAGAAGATGCCGAAGCCATCGCAGTCGCAGCGGTGGCGATCGCGCACCGCGACCGCAGCCTGAGCGGGAGCACTGCTGAGCAGACTGCGCACAGGCCGGCGGAGGGTGTCGCACGCGCAGGCGGCCACGAGCCACGGCAGGCGCTGGAGGCATAGCCCCACCCCCACCTTGGGGACGGCCGTTGGGTCTGCATTGGATGGGGCCCCAGAACATATGCGAAGGGGGACGAAGCCAGATCCGCTCCGAATCGCCCCCCTGACCCTCTCGGGGTCCATGTGGTGCAGCTCTCGCAACAGATCTGTTTTTGACAGTCCAAAGGGCCCGAAAGCGGCACCTGGAGGCCGAACAAGGCACAAAACACCCTCGAACCTAGAACCTCGAACCTGCCCGCCCGTCCTGCTGGCCAGAACGAGTGCCGGGCCACCTCGGACACCCTCATCCCTCCTCGAAGTCAAACGCGAGGTGTCCTCACGACGTGGCGATGCCCCGGAACCCCAAGTGAAAGAGGACGCCGAAAGTGGCGACTGCAATCTCTGTTGTTGGCCCAACGGGCCGCGTTGCGCGCGTCCATCAGCGTAGACGCTCGGGGGCGAGGGGGTTTGATACAAAAGGAAAAAAAAAACGCGTTTGCTCTCGAGGAGGGCTGTAGCTGCTGGCGGCGCGCACAAAGGGGTAGGGGGAGGGGGGACGGCTTCTTAGCAGGAGGCTGCTTCGTACAGGGCGCCGGCCTTACATCTACGGACAGGGCCCGCGCCTTCCGAGAAGCAGCCTCCTTCTGTCAGGGGGGCGTAAGACCCGGGTACAGGGGACTCGGAAATCCCCGACGAGGTCGTCAAAAAAATGACGAGGCCGAGCCTGCATTTTGACGAGGCCTCCCGCTGCAGACATCCCACGAAACTCCTCCTCGTCAAAATCCGAGGCGCGGTCGTCAAAAAACGATGGCGAACCCGAGTCCTGGCAAACCCGGGTCTTACGCTCCCCCGATTCTGACAAGCCTTCCCCACTTCCCCTGCCCCCCTTGGCGCGTGGCCGAAGACGGCTTCTCCCCCCCCTCCCCCCCTGCAACCCACCGACGGCGAGGTGCTCCAGCGCGTCGTCGCCGAGTGTCGCCGCGCACATCGCGCCCACCTGCCCGGGGGGGGCGGGGGGGGGGGCACGCCCGGCGGAGGCGCCCACCACGCGCAGGGCGGCCGGAACCCGCGCAGCGGGGCCAGAAACATCCGCCCAGCGTGCCGCGAGGCCCTGCGCTGCTCCGTGATGGTGCTGTGCACCCGAGCACCCGGCGTCTCGATGGCAAAAGCGGGACGGAAGCTTCTCATAGCCCTCGGCCTCTCGGGGTCCTGACTGGGCCTCGGGGCCGCCAAACAACGGCTCGGGGTGAGGAACGGGTCCCGGGGAGGTGGTCGAGAGATCGGGGGGGGGGTAAAATCGAGACGCTGGATGTCGTAGGAGGCCCCATCGAACGGATCGCAGCTGAAAAGCACGAGCCTCCCTCCGAGCCCCAGGAGGCATGCAGGCCGATGCGCCGGCGCTGTGCCTGCCCAGCCGCGCAGCTCTTGTGCGGACCAACGCAGGGACAACGTGGAAGAACGGGCGAGGCACCGCAGTGGAGGGCCCTCCGCTCCCTCTCGGGCTCAAGGCCTCTCAATCCTTCGGCTCAGCGCCTTCGGCGCGTGGTGTCTTCCACGACGGGGAGCCCAGTTTGGGGTGTCTATGGCGCCCCCCCGGTGCTTGTTTAGCAACCCTGAGATCCTGGTGTCGCAATTTGTTCGAGCCGGGCACTTTCGCACGATCCGAGCCCTGGGACCCGATCGAGCCGGCTTGAAGAGTGCCGCAAAAAGATGGAACTCGTGGCTCCAATCGGTGATTTTTCATGCTGCATTTTGGCGCATCGTCGGATCTCAGAGGCCCCCCTGTTCCGGGCGCTCTGGGGCGCTCCTGGGCGCTGTTTTGGCCTGCGTCGCGTGACGACTTGGGAACGTGGCTCGGGGTTCCAATCCATAGCATGCTGTCATGTTGTCTCAGTCTCGGGGGCCCGAGCTGGCATGCTCGTGCGTTCTCGTGGGGGCGTCTTGGGCCGTCTCGGAGGCCAGGGAGAAGCCCCGAATCATTGAGCTACCCGGGGCTGGCTGCATCTTTTTGGCAAAAAAGCACCGAACATCGAGCATCAAGGGGTGGCACGGGATACAAGGCAAGAGCGCCCATGGCCAACTCTGCAGCGCGGCTCTCCGCGGCAGGATAACACCCTGCCCGATCCTGAGGCAACAGCTGAAAACTTGCCAAAGATGGGCGCGAGATGCTGAAATTCCGAAAACAGTCCGCCAGCCATCTCGGGGCCAGCAGGCTGCGAGGCGCAGGCGATCCTGCTCCATTTAACACTTCCAGCGCCCAAATTCGGGTTCTATATATATACACATATATATACACACACACACACACCTTTTCGACCACCCTTCGGGTGATAAGGAGGTTGTCGGGGGGGAGAGGGGGGGGGAACCAACATCTGACTCAATCGATCTCACTATCGATCTCACTCAACGGGACACCACGGGACGCTACGGGACATCTGTCGATCTCACGATCGGCCTCAAGATCGATCTTACTCAACGGGACAGCACGAGACACCACGGGACACCGCGGGACACCACATCGATCTCACTTTCGGCCTCACTATCGATCTCACTATCGATCTCACTCAAAGGGACACCAGAAGACACCACGGCACACCACGGGACACAACGGGACACAACGGGACACCACATCGATCTCACTATCGATCTCACTATCGATCTCACGATCGATCTCACTCAACGGGACACCACGGGACACCACGGGACACCTCGGGGCACCACATCGATCTCAATATCGATCTCACTACCGATCTCACTCAACGGGACACCACGGAACACCACGGGACACCACGGGACACCTGTCGATCTCACTATCGATCTCACTATCGATCTTACTATCGATCTCACTTTCGATCTCACGCATTGGGACACCACGGGACACAACGGGACACCACGGGACATCGCGGGACACTACATCGATCTCACTATCGATCTCACTATAGATCTCACTATCGATCTCATTCAACGGGACACCACTGGACACAACGGGACACCACGGGACACCACGGAACACCACGGGACATCGCGGGACACCGCGAGCCACCGCTGGACGGGCGGGCGCGAGGGGGAGAATCATTTGTCTTAATTTCGCCCCAGCAACGGCGGACACCACAGGACACCAGGGGACACCACGGGACACCGCGGGACACCGCGAGCCACCGCCGGACGGGCGGGCGGGAGGGGGAGAATCATTTGTCTTGACTTCGCCATAGCAACGGCGGGTTCATTCCTCGCAGCTTCGCTTCGCCCGCACGCACGACACGAACGAAATGAAACGATTTCCCAGTTGGGGGTCTCCGTTCCACTGCGATCTCATCCCCCGACCTCCGATATACCTATACGACCACCCTGCGGGTGATAAGGAGGTTGCGGGGGGAGCCAGCAATGGGCAACAGTGGTGATTGTTATTCTGACGATGCCTGTGGTGCGCAGTCTAGTGAGTAGTGCGATTGTGATCGTGAGCGTGATGTGATGTGGCAATGCTGACGAAGCGTACTCGATGTGCATATCGATGTGCATGACGATTTGCTTTTCGATCTGCATCTCGATTTGCATGTCGACGTATCGATGTGCATGCCGATTTGCTTTTCGATCTGCATCTCGATTTGCATGTCGACTTGCATTGGAAAGCTCGCCGCAGGCGCCAATTTTTCAAATACACAACCCACGGCGCCTCACGATTTGCATTTGGATGTGCATGTCGATTTGCATTTCGATGTGCTTTTCGGTTTGCATGTCGGTTTGCATGCAATCTTGCATTGGATAGCTCGCCGCAGCCACGGCGGGACACCAGCGGGACACCAGCGGGACACCGCGGGCCAACGTTTGACGGGAGGAGCATCATTTGGTCCGGCTGCGGCCCAGCCACAGGAGGATTTCGGGACACCAGCGGGACACCTGCGGGACACCGCGGGCCACCGGCCGCCGGAGGAGAAACATTTGGTCCGGCCGCGGCCCAGCCACAGGAGGATTTCCTCTCGCCCGCCCACGCAACTTCGCCTCGCACGCACGCACGCACGCACGCACGCACGCACGGCACGCACGACACGAACCCGAAACCGAAATCGATTTCCCGGTAGGGGGGGTCTCCGTTTCACGTCGGACTCACCCCACAACCTCCGATATATATATATATATATATATATATATATATATATATATATACATACATACATACATACATACAAGATTGCATTGGCGCTTCGCGCCATGCGCCTTGTTCCGGACGCTTCCCTGGCACAGCAATGAATCATCGCTTTCTTCAGCAGGGAGGACCTCGAGGCCTGGACGGGCGACTCGCCCATTTTTCCGATATCCCGGGTGCCTGCTGACACCGTTTTCGGACGATGCGCTGGCACGCTTGTGCGCAAGAGTGGGGCAATAATGCTGATTTTTTTCGCGCGCGAAGGTCCTTTGAGGAAGTCAGGAGCGTTCCCATGACACGCCGAAGAAGTCACAGTAGCTCCGAACATATCGATTCTTGATCGCTTCCCGAATGCCTGGAGGGCTCCAGGCACTCAGGAAATCTTCGATCGTCGAATGTCGAATCTGGATCCATTGCCTGTCTCTCTCGATCGGGGAGCTACTGAAACCTCGAGCCTCAAGCGTGGAACCAAGATCGTCGGGTCAGCTCGATGTATTTCGTAGGAGAACGCCGTCTGGTCGTTTTTGGTGCTCTTTTGTGCCGTCCTGGGGCACTCTTGGGCCGTCCTGGGGGCTTCTTGGGCCGCCTTGGGGAGCTGGGGCCCTCCAGAGATCTTCTGAAGCCATCTAGGGCCCTCTTGCGGGCCTCCAACGGCGTTCTGGGAAGTATCCCATGGCTTTCGCGGGTCTCTCTTGGGAGCCTTCTGGGGGCATCTTGGGCTTCTCGTGGGCAGTCTCGGGGCTCTCTGGGGCTCTCTGGGGCAGTCTTGGGGCCCCCTTGGGCCGCCTTCAAGCCTTCTAGGGGGCCTCCTGGGCCGTCTCGGGGCGAGATTGGGGGCCCATTGGGCCGTCTTGGACGCTGCGAAGACCCAGAAAGCGGATATGCACTACAAATGTACTTCCTGAAGGAATGTGGCGATTTTAACTTCTTCGGGGCTCTCTTAACGGCCTCTTGGGGTGTCTTGGGGGCCTTTTGGGCCGTCTTCAGACCATCCAAGTTCCTCTTGGAGCGCTCTTGTGCTGTCTTGGGTCTCTCTTGCGCCTCTCCGACGACCCCTCTAATCGCCTCCAGTCGGCTCGCAAGGCCCAGCGAGGCGCCCTGGGAGGCCCGGAAGGGCCACCGAACCTTTTCCAAGGGCGTCCAGGGGGCCGCCGAGACGCCCGAAAGGGCGTTTCCCGTGGAGGAGGATCTGGTTTAGGGGGGGGGGCGGAGGGGGTCCAGGTAATAAAAATATTAAGAAATCATATATACATATATAAATATATATGTACATACATGCACACACATATATATATATATGTATGTATGTATGTATATATACACAAGACTGCATTGGCGCTTCGCACCATGCATCTCGGTCCTTGAAGATTGGTGCGCAGGCGGAATAGCAGGAAGGTCAAACCGACAATTCAACGATAACTCCTGGTTGCATGTTCCGGCATCGCCGCTATAATAATGTTTTTCGTTATCCTTCCTCCACGCTTCTTTTTCTTCATTTTCGCCATACCCTGCGCATCCCCCCCATCCTCCGCAGCTTTTTTTTGCGGAGGCTCCTCCTTGGCGAGCCTCTGGGGGCCTCACAAAAGTTGTTTCAAGTTTTCTTAAGGCCTTCTGGAGGCCTCCTGGGCGTATTCTGGGGGCCTCTGGGGGCTTCCTCGGGCCACCCTTGCCTCCAACCGCGGTCTCCCCGAACGACCAGGTCACGATTCGGAATGTTTCGGAGGGTGTATTGGGGCCATATTGGGCCGCCATGGGGCTCTCTGAAGGCCATCTTGGGCCCGTGTTGTGCCGTTTTGGGGCTCTCTTGGACTGCCCAGAAGCCCTTTCGGATGGTTGTGGAGCGATTTTGGAGCCTCCCAGGCGGCTTCGACCGCCCAGAAGACCGCCGTCTTGGAGCGTCGGAAAGCCGAAAAGAGGAGAACCCCCAAATTCACCAAAAACAAAAACAATGATGTTTGCCTCTCGGGGCCTTCTTGGGAGGGTTCTTGGAGGCCTCTTTGGGGCCGTCCTGGAGGCCTCTTGGGCCATCTGGAGGTCACGTCGGTCACTCTTGGAGCGCTCTTGTGCTGTCTTGGGGGTTTCCGGGACGTCTCCGATGACCCCCCTGATCGCCTTAGGTGTGCTGGGAGGGCTTGGCAAAACGCCCTGCGAGGCCCGGGGGGCCGCTTCGAGGCCCGTCCACAAATTCCCAAAGCCCCAGATCCCGGGAGTCCCGTTTTTTTTGGGGGGGGACCCCTTTCGCGCTCCGCCCGGATATGGATATGTACATGTATATGCAAATGGTCACTGTAACTATGTGTGCGCATACACATGCGTATATCAGGCGGTAGTGGCCTGACCAGTTGCTCGTATCATCGCGCCACTAAAAGGCGCGAGGGTCTCAGGCAAACGTGGTCAGACTACCATGGGACAGTGCGTCGCCGAGGTCAATGTTGCGAGGACGTCCCGGGTGAAAATGGCCTGAACACCTCCACTCAGGGGAGAGCATATCCGAACTCAGCCGCGCGAGGAAGTTTCAAGGGAGGAGTGGTGTGAACACCTCTGCTCAGGGCATCCTTGAACTTAGAGTTGCGAGAAGCCGCGCGCGAAAGTGGACGAACCACCCTGGTGCAAGGCACATCCGAAGTGAGACTTGCGAGAGTGTCTCAGGCGACAGTGGCTGGATCACCTCAACTGAGAGTGTCTCGGGCCCCAGAGCTGCGATGGTGTCTCAAGCGAAAACGGCGGGGCCGACGTGAAGCAAGGCGCTTCTGAAGTCGGAGTTGCGAGCGTATCTCTGTCGAAGTTGATTAGACTACTTTCCATGATCTCTTCTTCCCCCTTCCCTTTTCCCTTCCCTCCTCGCCCCCCCCCTCCCCCTCCTCTTCCTCCTCCCCCTGTTCTTCCCCCTCTTCCTCCCACCCTTTTTCCGCTCCTTTTTTCGCCCATTCTCCCCATCCCTGGCGGCGCGGCGCGGCGCCGCTCGGCCTCTCTGCGAGTCAAGCGGAGGAGGAGGAGGAAGAGGAGGAGGACGTTGCAAGTGTTCGCGCGGCCGTGGGTCCCCAGGGGGTGTTCCCCCAGGATGTTTGC